GACCATCGTAACATAGATTGCTACACAGATGGTTCACTTATCAAAGGTAGAGGGAGTGGTGCAGGAATTTACATACCAAAATTAGGAATCAGCATCTCCTCCCATCTTGGCAATAACACCTCCGTTTTTCAGGCGGAAATCTGGGCCATCAATGTGTGTTGTAGAACACTGATGGAAAATAAAATTATGGGAAAAGATATTAAAATCTTTTCTGACAGTCAGGCTAGTCTTAGGGAATTACAAAAAGATTTGTCAACCTCACGACTAGGTGACCCTTATTTGGATACCTGCACATAAAGGACTCCAAGGCAATGAAAAGACGGATGGCCTAGCCAAAGAAGGTTCTAATACTGCGTTTGTCGGGCCACAACCGGTATTACCTCACTCTGTGAGCACAGCGAAATAGAGTATCAATTTCTTAGGGAGTGGAATTTATCCCCCGGAGACAGGCAATCGAAAGAGTTTGTAAAGTTGATCAAACCAGCTGAATCAAAATGGCTATTCTCTATCTCAAGGAAGGGAATTAGGAGACTGATAGGTATTCTGACGGGCCACTGCCCACTGAGAAGACACCTCTTCATAATGGGTATCCCACCAGATCCCTTTTGCCGCTTCTGCGAAATAAAAGAAGAAACGGCAAGGCACTACCTCGCAGAATGTGATAGGTTTGCTAGGTCTAGATTTGAAATCTTTGAAGGAGAGGACTTTGAGGGGGGCAAATCACTCCCCGAGATAAAATGGTCCAAAATCTTGGGGTTTGTGAACCAGTCCAAGAGGTTTATGCAGGACACGTGAGCCGACCAAGTCCCGGACCTTTTAAGGACGAGGTACGAGTCTACCCAGGCATTTAACCCCTCGGGTCTTGGTCGCCCACCCTGCATAATATATATAGTCTAGCGAGTAATCTTTAATGCCACTCTTTCTTAGTCTTGTTTAGGGATTCGAAGTCGAAGTCAAAAACTTAAATATTATATTTTGGTTTTCATTCCACTCTTCCTGCAAGGTGACATATAACAGGATCTGAATTAGGCAAAAAGATAGCCATACTATCAGCATATATAGGCATAACTGTTATAAGAAATGTATGTTTATCGTGGGTGTAAATTGAATAGGAATAGGGAGAGAGTGCATGACTCTCGCCTGAAAATATCTTTTCGAAAGATAGGATTTGAAGATAAGATAGTAGGTTTGGGAAGGAATGACCTTGACCTTAAACAGCAGACCATCGTGCGATACAGTTTGCCACATGCGCGATGTCAAATGCGCATCGTTTTATCTTAAGGAAAATGGCGATGTTCTAGAAGATGATGTTCACTGTACAGTGGAGCGACGGCTAGAAACCTGAATACTTTGATTCATCGACTTACCACAGGTTCAGAACAGCAACTACAGCTCTTACAAGGCTACAATTACAACATTGTACGGCCGAAAGGCAAAGTCAATTTTATATCGTCATTATTTCATTAAATCTATTAATAAATATAGATTTACTTAAAACGTTGTTTTACCTATTCTCCTGACAAATGGTAGCATAGCGTGCTAAAATGATAGCGTTTTCCTTGATCGTCACCCATCTCGGCGTCGTTGCGCCAACTTTCAAAACGCACCGCCATTTTGCAAAATGTATTCCTTCCTTTTTGAAAAGAGCACATTTTTCAGAGAGATTTTCCAAACCGACGGTTATCGGCTCGCAGAACGAACTGAAACGACATCGTTGAGGGGGTTGTCAGGTTCAGGAATAGTTCGACGCGCTCACCTCACAAATGGGACCATGCCCATGTCGAGTTTCACCCCTGAGACTATCCCTTTGGACCTTAAATAATCGACGAACTTAACTCCTTCGTCCGTTTCCTGGCCGATGGTCTCTGGGCACAGAATCACCCCTGAAACGTACTGTTCTATGCCCTCTGTTTTGAAAAGCAACTGTCGCCACTGTCTCCTTGTCTCCTCGCCGTCCTCGATCCCTATTTTCTATAAATAACTTCATACATTATACGTCTTATATTAAAAATATTAGTGTTGATTTTACATGAAATTTTCTCGACATAGACGCAATGGATTCATCAGCTCCCAGGATGCCTTTGCCAGGTTGGAACAAGTGTTTTGCGATTTTGAATAACTCTTCTTGGAGAAAAGAAGGCGGGCTGTTATACCACGTCGTCATACTAAATGTTAAAAATTATTATTCCTCTCAAACATGAGATCTAAATTTATCTAACCAAAAATAAAATAAATATGGTGTGGTTTGTCGTAAAATTATGTAAAACTTTCATTACAAGGAAAAAATTTTATAAAGTTAAAATCACTTTGTTTAAAAATAAACACTTTTTTCTTTTTCTACACATTTTTCCAATGTAGAGCCAATTTTGTAATACAAAAACTCACAGATACAGTTTAAAGAAGAAAAAATACAGAAAACGTTTTTCTAGGCCTGTGATTTTTACAATTTTCTCTTTAAGGAGTTGCGTTCGTTTTTCTTAACAAAAAATGCATTTTTTAAATATATTTATAATTTAAAAAACTCAAATATACAGGGTGTCTCGTGAACAGCCGTCATACACGTCAAATTAATTTTAAAAAGTCCCTATTGTCCAAAATTTGATTTTTCGAGTTGCTTCAGTTTAAAGTTGTTGTTTTGTTTTTTTTCGCAAAAGCCCCCGTATCTCATAAAATATTAATCCAACTGTAAATTTTATTAAATCAAAGGAAATAGCATTAAAAACCCTATGAATTTAATTTTTTATTGTAACCTTAAAGCAAAAAAATCAGAGCTTCAGAAAAGTTGGTTTAAAAAAAATTAGTCATTAAAATTGTTAAACTTCTATTAAAAAATAACAAAAATAATACAAAGTAAAAAAAATGGTTTTGGTAGAAAATTGACCATAAGAAAAACTAAAAATCTTCAATAAATTAAATAAATGTCCACTTTTGGATAATGCAAGCCTGACATATTTTCCTGACAGATATTATTAGATTTTACTATTCTTAAGTTATTTGATCAATTTTTTATGTTAAATTTTCTATCAAAGAGCATTTTAGTCTGCTTTTTAGAAGTTTCAAAATTTTAATGAATATAATTAATAAAATAAAATAATTTAAATAAATTGAAAACAGAGAAATCTGCAATGAAAAGATGTCAGGCTTGCATTCTTCAAAAAAGTGGACATTTGTTTTAATTTTTTTTTAATTTTGTATCACAGAATCTTTTTTGTTTATTTTGTATTACTTTCATTGTTTTTAATAGAAGTTTCAAAACCTGACTAATTTTTTTAAACGAAAGACTTGATTTCTAGAAATTAATCGTTAATTTTACACTGGTGATAACTGAGCTTTGAAATTAAGTGCACGTGTTTGAGACAACATTTCTGTAAGCGCCAAATATGTTTCTATTTATAAAACTAAGAAAATCTTACTTATACTTTAGACGAGAAGTTTGAAAATTCGTGAAAGTTCACCCTCAGATTTTGCATTGTGTTTCCTTAACCAATCGAATTTACACTAGGATTCATACATTATGAGATTCAGGGGTTTTATGGAAAGAATTTGTGGAAGGATGGACAACTAATTGAAATAGTGACGTAAGTGGGACACCCTGTGTAATGAAGAAATCGCCTATGTGACTTTTTTAAATAGTCTCTAATAAACTAGCAAAACCATCGAACATACAATGATCACAATACATGCTTAACATACATAATTAACCGAAGAGGGGTTCCCATAAGGAATAGTACAAGCCTTATGGCCACTAGTAGTAGATGACCTTTTACATAACGGGCTTTAATGTACCAGAGTACACATCATAACAATCAGAGGTAAACTCGGACTGATCGAAATATTGCAAAATCCTTGACAAAAATCGAAATAAACCATTCCAAGACATCAAATCAGGAAGAAAAATAAGATAACTCGTACAACTATATCCCTGCGAAACCTAGAAATCAATCAATATGAAAGTGTTTCAGTAAGAAAAACTTTAATGTTTAACGGTTAAGTAGATAGAACAGACTCTCTTGAAAAGGAAGTCTTAACAAAATTAAAATCTATCGAATAGAAGTTGTCTTAATAAAGAAAATAGGAAAAAACCAGTTGTTCGTACCAAAAACGGTCCTTACCCACTAAAAGAAATGGACTAAATTCATAAAAGGATGAAAATCTTTTCGAGATCAAGAATAAGATGGATTCGGAAGGACTTGGTAGACCAGCTCCTTTAACTTATTCAGTATCCCTTTAAACACTTGGTCTGGTGTCGTCGTCTGTAAGAATAGGTTTTGCGACGTTTTTGATACATTTAAAATTTAAATTTGATTGTCTTAGATCTAAGCCGTCTCTCACTGACTGATTCTTCCAAGTCATTGAAGGCCACTCCCTCTCTTCGTATGTTCCTATCCATGCTGGTGTCGCTCAGGGTAGCGTTCTGGCCCCTACGCTGTACCAGGTTTTCACAGTTGACATGCCATCTCATCCCGAAACCACCACATTCACATTCGCAGACGATACGGCAATTCTCTCTAGCAACTCCGACCTTGTCATTTCCACTCGAAACCTCCAACAACACCTCATANTCCGAAAATGTCATCACACTGCAGGTAACATTAGTTACAGTGAAAGTGATAATGTCACACGTATCAATTGAACAAACAATATTATTGTAACATTGGAGTAATACCAATGGGTGTTTTCTCCACTCTTGGTTTTAATTTTGTTTTGTTTTAATTACCTTTCTCACTGTTACTTATTACCTACTTTAAGGTAGTTGTAATGTACAACAAATTATATAATAAAAAATTAAAAAAATTACTACAGCCACTGACCGCCAATAAGGTCACCAATCACCATTAGCCTTTTTTAGGTGTATGGCCTTTCGTCGACATTTAACCGCTGACCTGTCCAACTTCGACTATCATACGTTATTTGTTTTTCGAGAAAAAGCTTGGACTTCTGCTTAGTTAACGAAATGCTTTTCGAAATCAATCACATCACAAAAGTGAAATAATAATACTATTCAATTAATTAAGGCTTTAAATTGAGATAAAAAAAGTCAGTGTCACGAGCGGGATTCGAACACACGACCTTCGGCTTGATACGCAAAAAGGGGGGAAAATTCAAAAGGTGAGGTTGAGATGGGAAGTTAGTGCCCGAGGGGATCGAAGTCACGATAGCTCAAGTGGTAGAGCAGCGGCGTATTTAGCCGAAGGTCGTGGGTTCGTATCCCGTTCGTGACGCTGACTTTTTTATCTCAACCAAAACCTTACATACCTTACATAAAGAATAATAATCGCTGGTTTTCGAAAATCACGACATTCTGCAGTCTAACTGTTTTTCACTGAAACTGTACAAGTTATCGTGTGATTCTTTTTTTTTCCTTAGTCCTTGTTTATTACTGTTGTTTATTCTGTTACTTCATATCGAAAATCGAATCCAAAATACGCCCTTATTCAAGTAGATTTTCCAAGGCATCTATGATAGATATTTAAAAAAATTTTTTATTTTCAGTTTTAATAATTTCTTAAATATTTTGATGAATTTTTTTAAGCATCATGGAAAACTAAATTTTTAAAAATTGGGTAAAAGTTTGGTAAAAAATTTTGACCTTCTACCATTTTTTCGATCGTGTTTTTATCGGGGATCGAAGTCACGATAGCTCACTAGCTAGAGTAGCGGCGTATCAAGCCGAAGGTCGTGGGTTCGAATCCCGCCCGTGACACTGACTTTTTTATCTCAACTTATAACCTTAATTAATTGAATGTTATTAATTGATCAAGCGGACCACGAAAAATAGTGAATTTGGAAATAATAATACTATCAGATAACCAGACAGCTTTAAAGGTTCTTGAAGACCTAATCAACTCAAAACATGTCTAGAACTGCCTAAATACCCTCAGAAACCGGGATCTACAAATAGTCTACGTAAATTAGGAACATGAGGGAATTTTGAAGCAGTCAGATGTGCTTAATAAAAAGGGGACCTTCTCAAGGGGAGCAACCAAATTCATTTTGTGCCATAAACCATAGACACTAAAAAAATTACAATCTTGGGTAACTCAGCCAATTGGTCAATTTCAATGAAGTAGGCTGTAAAGGTGATTATCTCAGCTTTAAGCAAAAATAAATATTGAACGGGCTCCAGCTATAAACCACCAATAACTTTTTTTTAACCACCATCAGCTTTTTTGTGAAAATTTTGTTTTGGCACGTATAATTGACCTTTCGTTCACATTCAACTACTGACTTATTCGACTTCGTCTGTCGCTCATTATTCATTTTTCCAAAAAAAAAAGTTTAGGTACGAAACCCTTTTCCCATGGCTTTTTGATTTTTTCCACAGTTCTTTAAATATATAGAAACTGTGGTTGCACTTTTATGCAGTTGTGCTGAGAGTCCTCTAACAGTGTGATAATGATTTTTGTTTCAACATGTCGGAAAGATGATTGTCTCTCATATAAGCAAAAATATTGAATGACTTCAGCCAAAGGCCAACATTCATCTTTTATTTTCAGTTATTTTTTTGACGACATACATGGTTTTTTGCCCACCAAGCATAGAAAAAAAACTCTAGAGGCTTTTTGACTTTTCCCATATTCTTTAAGTGTCTTTAAATAGTACTGTTCTTTCCTTCAGGTGTGCTTAGAGTCCTCTAACAGTTTGATGATGATTTTTCTTTCAACATGTCGGAAAGATGATTGTCTCTCATCTAAGCAAAAATATTGAATGACTTCAGCCAAAGGCCAACATTCATCTTTTATTTTCAGTTATTTTTTGACGACATGCATGGTTTTTTGCCTACCAAGCATAGAAACAAAACTCTAGTAACTTTTTAACTTTTCCCATGTTCTTTAAGTGTCTTTAAATAGTACTGTTCTTTCCTTCAGGTGTGCTGAGAGTCCTCTAACATTTTGATGATGTTTTTTCTTTCAACATGTCGGAAAGATGATTGTCTCTCATCTAGAAAACAGGTTAATAAAAGCGACTTGGACGAAAGAAATTAACATTCAATTTGTAATTCAAGATATTAATAAATACGACAGTGAATGTATTCTACTCCAGTTATAAAAGAACGTGAAAACGTATTAATTTCGCATTAGTCAATAGATAAACAACGATTCAGTTTTGATGAATGAATCCATTTTTTTTTAAATTATCAAATCGAAGGAAAAAATGCCAATTT